TTTGGATAATCTTCAGTAGAATCTTGCTTGCATGTGAAATCAATGATATTGTTCTGTAGTTTTCACACTCAGTTGGGTCACCCTTCTTTGGAATGGGAAGAAATATAGATCTCTTCCAGTCAGTTGGCCAAGTCGTTGTTCTCCAGATTTCTTGACACAACTTAGTGAGCACATCCAGGGCAGCATCTGTTAGCTGAAATATGTCAATTGGTATACCATCTATTTCCTTCAAAGCAGCTTGAGCTTCTTTCTTTATCCCCATAGGCTCTTGCTCAAATGTTATTAAATTCTTCTGTATCTGCTAATTCTTTTTGATACAATGACTCAGTATATTTCTTCCATCTTGGACTTGGGGGCGGGGGAATTGTATAATAATGAAAGGTTTTTGTTGTTGTTTTGTTTGTGGGGTTTTTTTTTTCCTTTTCAGAGAGAAAAGTGAACTGGGGGGTGGGCAAGGAGGAAAATATACAACAATCAATGAATGGAAATCCAAGTTCTCTATAATCTTTCATTAAAATCTCAAAGATAAATGTAAGGGAGATAATGTCACAAGTGAGAGAGTCATGTCATGTGTACCTGAACCATATGTCTTATTGATTGGTAATAAGGTAATCACTGGTGATTATCCAAAATTTAAGTAAGTTGTTCCCATAAAATTTCTGACTATATTAGCTCTGTTACCAAAGATGATTCAGTTATTCTAAAGAATCCTCCTCTTGTTATGACATTGGTAAAGTTAAATGATATTTGGTATGATAATAATGGCTCGCAGATTTTAAAAGTTAAAATAAGTTATCGTTAAGAACCAAAAAAAAAATCTCAATAAAAAATTAAAAAGCAAAAAATAATTTATGCCTTTGACTTGTGTTTCAAAGAGTACTGAATATAAATGTGTGTTTTTTTTTATTTTTTTAAAAGTACTGGATATACCATGGACGGCCAAAAGAACAAGCAAATCTGCCAAATAGTCCTTAGAAGGGAGAATAATGTGATGTCCCCTTGCATATTTTTAGCATGTTACCAAGAGGGCTAAGTCTCTAGAAAAAGACATCATACTTAGTTAAGTGGAGGGTCAGAGAAGGAGAAGACCCTTGATAAGATAGATTTCAACATTGGGCTTAAGGACAATAGGGTGGTGCAGTATCTGGCAGTGTTTCACGCCCTCTTAAGAGGGATGTCTGTGAGTTAGAGGCAACTCAGCAACAATTAATGTTGTAATGTTTACCATTACATAGTTGTTGACTTCTGAGTCTGGTTGTTGAGAGAAATATCTAGAGAATATCAATTCTATCTTACTAATCTTTGCATCTCTTGGATATAACCCCATAGGTTGGCATTCTGTAGACATTTGTTGAAAGAAAGGAACGGGAAGGGTCAGATGAATGGATAAACCGATTTGTCCTTTGTATTAGACCTTGAAGGAAGGCTAGGGCTTAGCTATATAGAGATTCTGGTCAGGAGAAGTACATTTGAACTGTTAAATTTGTTACATATTGGGCACAAAGGGAATTTGGGAAAAAAATACTTTTGGAAAGTTAGTTCAGTGCCACATTAGAAAATCTTTCAGTGCTAGACTAAGGATTTTAAATTTGTTATCCAGTTAACAGAAAGGCCTTTGAGCATAGGAATATATAGTAAAATAAATGATGAGTCAAAAGGAAGGGGAGAATTTATTCTGGCAAATCCCTTGAGGAAATTTGAAGGCATGGTTAAAGATAAGAACTATCAAGTTGGACCCTCCATTGATTTTCTGAGGCTGTAAGTCACATGAGAGGAGATTGCCTTCTTTCTCATTGGGAACCACTGGTAGATTTTTTTTACTGCCTGAGAGGATTGGCCTTTGACTTAGAAGCACAGTACAAATGCAGTTACTGGTCTTAGACAATGAAATGGAGCTAAATGACTAATGAAATAGAATTTGAGGGTTAAACTACATAAAGATGAGCCTGAGGTTTAAGTGTTACCTTTGCCTGTATAATTTGGAGAATGCTGATTATTTTAGATTATGAGTTTGTACCCTTTTGGGTTGGTGGCACATTTGGGTCATAATGTTTGAATATTGTTAGTTATAGGAGGGGCAACTCCAACTCCAGCAACCTGGACATAAAACTTATTGAAGCCTTGCCTGATCCTGCATAATCCTTCCACTCTTCCCATAGTTGCAGTCACAATGTCAGTCTAACTTTAATCAGGCTACTTACAAACATACTTACTAAACTTTCAAAGAGATACAAAATCCATGGATTAAATTAGTTACGAAGGCAGGGGTAGAGTTGGAGAGAGACAGATTCAAGCCTAAGCCCTTCGGAAACTCCTAATTTAAAGAGATAGATGAAGAGGAGCCATAGAAGGAGTTTTGGGCAGAGGCAGAGTGAAACTGCCCAAGGAGAAAGAAGTCGGGAAATACTTAGCAATCTACCTGCACAAGTTCTCCTTAATAAAAGTTTTTACAGTTTATAAATGAATTTATTTACCAGTTGATAAAAAGAAAATTAATTAATGAAGGACATTTCTTTTTTACTCCCAAGCATCTGTATTACATCATTATGGATTAAACATAGAATAGTTTTTAGTATAAAGAATATTTTGCAGGACCTACAAGTGAATCAGTGGGTGTGTTGTTTTAAAATAGGGATTTTCACTTTGTTATTCTATGTGGATTTTATCTGTACAGTTGACTGGGTGGATTTGGAGTCAGTAAAGTTTTAACATACTTTGGCATCTACCTTCAAAACCTAAGTATTTTCCTAGTGTTGTTCATGCTATTCTGTTAGCTTATAAATTCCCACAGATTGTGTGTTTGTTTTTCCCTAATGATTTTTTTTTATTCTTTTCAGGATCTGACTGGCATAGAATCTATGGATCAATGTCGTCATACCTTGGAACAGCATAACTGGAACATAGAGGTATATGACAGAATTCATTCTTAGCTTATTTCTTTTTTCCCTAGTTTGGTGAAGAAGTAAAGACATTTTTTTTAATATAGCAGAAATCTTTTTATTCAATAGATTGTTTCTCCCCTCAAAATTGTGACTTTAATCTTTATAAATAAGAATGTAGGAAAGGTGGAGAAGATGATAGATTATGAAATCATAAAAAAAATTAAGATAACCAAAACCCTCACAATAACTGCCTTCCCTCCTTCTTTGTTTCTTAATCATTCTTTTGGGAGTTGTACAATTAGTCTGTAACTAGATGCGAAGCTGCTAGTTGCATATTTTACATCTTGTCTTCTCTAAGTGATGATTGTATGTATTTATCTTTTTGTTTCTTTTACGTAAATGATGAATGGGCTATTATTTGAAAGCAGTGACTGATTGAAATAGCGAACGTACTGTCTTTTAATGTCTTTAGTGTTGTATTAGGGAGCTATGGTGGCTTAGTGGTAAGGAGTTGCACAGTCAACCCAAAGGTGCATGATTTGCATCCACCAGCTGCTCTGTTGGATAGAGAGAGGCAGTGTCCCCCCGTACAGTTTACTGCATGTTAAAACCTACTTGAGTTTCAGCTATGAGTTGGTTCCAACTCGACAGTAAACAACAATGGTTTTATTATCACATGTCATGCTAGGTATTGCTTTGAGATAGATCCATTAAAATGTAAGTTCCATGTTAATGGAGACTTTTGTTTATTTTTATTAACTGCTGTATTCTCACCATCTAAATCTCTCAATAAATGTTCATTTTCATTAACTCCTCTTCTGTCTTTGTTTTCTAATAGTTAAGATAATCTGAGGCATCACTGGCTGCTTACAAATTAAGCCATCCACCACTACCTCTACCACTTGCCACTGTCAGTTTGTCATCCTGTTTATGGGCTTGCATGTTTCTGTGATGCTGGAAATTACGTTACCAGTATTTGAAATGCCAGCAGGGTCACCCATAGTGGACAGGTCTCATTGTTGCTTACAGACTTAGACACTAGAAACCCAAATCTTGCCATCTACTTCTAAAATCACTGGTCAATGGTTACCCGTGATGAGAAGTAAAGGGAAAGAAAAATTAATAAAATAGTGAAGATTCTCATTGATATGGATTGACATTGTAGTTGTACCAGTTGTCTGTAGCATAGCCACCCGCTGTGGGGATGGCAGAGGACCTTGCAGTGTTTCTTATGCATGGGGTTGCTATGAATTAGAATCGACTTGATGGCACCCAGCAGCAACAAATCCACGTGGAAACAGGTTGTCAGGTCTTTTCTCTCCTGGAGTCACTGGATCAATTTGGACCTGTGACCTTTTGTTTAGCAAAACTGAGTGTATAATGCTGCACCAATAGGGCTTTTTACTTCTGTAATAGTTGTTGTTAGGTGCCATCAAGTCGAGTATGACTCACAGCAATCCTGTCATAAACAACAGCTCTGAACCCTGTCCTATCCTGTGCCTACTCACAATCTCTGACATACTCAAGCCCATTGCTGAAGTCATATGTCGGTCTATCTCATTGGTTTCTACCTAGGAATAGTCTCTCCTAGCAACATGTCCGAAGTATGAGAGATGAAGCTTTGCCGTCTTTGCCCATAAGGAGCACTCTGGCTGCACTTTCTCCAAGACATACCTATTTGTTCTTTTGGCACTTCATAGGTCATACAGTACTCTTCTCCAGCACCAAAGCTCAAAGGCATCAGTTCTTCTGTCATCCTTATGCACTGTATAGCTCTTGGATACCTAGAAGGTGATTGAAAAGACTATGGCCTGAGTCAGGGACACCTTAATTTTCAAACTACCATTACTGCTCTTCAGTATTTTGGAGAAGTCCCTTACAGTGAACTTGCTCATTGTGAAATGTCTCCTTTACCTCCTGACTACTGGTACTAAGGCATTAAATTTGCATCTGTTTTTCAGATTTTTTTAAATATTATACTCATACATGAATTTGCATTTTCTTACATTTTCTTCATGTAGAAATGAGATTAAGCTTCATTTACAGATTTTTTTTCATGTTCATATGTTTTAAAAAATATGTTTATTTTTTAAAGTTCAAATCCTGCAATGAGATAAGAAAAGTTTTCCCAGACCACTTCTCTACTGCAAATTCTCAGTCATTCTTCCTCAGAGTGTCCACTATTTACACTTTTT